TGTTGGGCTGCTTACTACAAGCTCAGCGGTTGGAAACCATCAGCTCCCCCATGAGAGAAAGATGGGGCTTTCTATTCCTCTCAGATAGTACACATTCCCAGGGGCAGTTCTACCTGCCCTTCTGGGTCGCCGTGAGTCGGCATGGCCTCAATGGCGGTACGTTTGGTTTTGAGAGGCATTAAGTGCAGACCTGACTCGAGGTGACCCCGTTTGCGTCAGAGTAGAGCCGTGTTGCGTGGGGTTTTATGTGGTTCAGTTTGTGGGAGTAGATTGCCAGGCCTTTCTTCTGAGGTGCCTCTGGGTGGTCCTGAACCGACAAACCTTTGGGCTGGCTAAGTGTGGTCACGGTCCACATCCCCCAGTGACTCCACGCGGTGCAAAGGAGTGGTCGGGGAAGGCCGTTGTTGGGACTTTAGCTGTGAAAGCAGCAATGCAGAAGGGTTTGGCAGTGCTCCCTTTGACCCGAACCAGGCAGAGAAATGATGCACATCAGAGGCTTTCCACTGCCAAAACAGACCCAGGAAGCATCGCGATACAATCGTTTGCCTTCTCTTTCCTGTTTTAACTTTGTTTTCGCCTTGTAACTGCCTTGCCTTCGGTCAATGCAGCCCTGGTGGTGTCGTGGGTTCGGCTGCTAACTTCAAGGTCAGCAGTTTGAAACCACTCTTTCTCACCTTTGCAGAAAGAGGAGGCTTGCTGCTGCCTTAAAGAGTTACAGTTATGGAAACCCACAGGGCCCGTTCTACCTAGTCCGGTAGGGTCTCTAAGACTCAGCGTCGTCTGGGTGGCAGGGAGTTGTTTTTGAGTTTTGTTTCATAGCGGTTTGTTCTGAAACCAGCAAATGTCATGCCAGCAATGCTGTTTTAGAATGGAATGCAGGCATTGAGAGTTGGAATCTTAACATGTGCACGTGGTGAGCGAAGGGTGTGTGTGTGTGTGTGTGTGTGTGTGTGCGAGTTCTGAGTTCCAGGTCCTCGGTTTGGAGTTTTGCTCTTTGATTCGTCGACGTCTACCGTGCACACCCATAAAAGGCTGTCCCTTTTCTGCCCATGCCCGTTGCAGGCCACGAGGGAAGCCATCACCCAGCACTGCACTGACCTGGGGAACTTGTTGGGCAAGGAGAACGACGTGGCACTCATCATTGATGGGCACACGCTCAAGTACGCCCTCTCCTTCGAGGTCCGGAGAAGCTTCCTGGACTTGGCGCTGTCCTGCAAAGCGGTGATATGTTGCAGGTAGGTGCGTGCAGACTGCCCCGGGTTCACGTTCTCACTTGTATTTGTTTTCCCCCTGTGGCTTTTATATTTAAAAAAGCCAACACGTGGGAAATGTTGACCCACCGTTTTGCATCTACAACCAGCGGAACAAAAAGAGGCAATCTGATTTCTGCTGCCTTGTTCAAAGGCTTGGTAGTAGGCAGCTGTTGTTAGTGGCACCTGAGTGGTGTCAGGCTCACGGCGTCCCTGTGTGCAACAGAAGGGAACACTGCCAGGCCCTGTGCCAGCCTCCCAGTCACTGCCATGTTGTGGTCAGCCACTGGGTCAGCCCATCCAGTTGAGGCGCTTCCTCTTTCCTGATGACCCTCTGTCTGACTGACCATGATGTTCTTCCCGACACTGATCTCTCCTCATAACATGTCCAGAGCATACGTGAGATGGAGTCTCACCATCCACTCCTAGCAGTTGGTAGTGGCGGCATTTTTGCTCTGTGTATTATCTTGGAAGAGATAAGAGCCTGGCCCACCACCATTCCTACTTCATGATGGAAGAGGAGGACAGATCCTGCCACAGGGCAGTGCCGGAGTACTTCAGAGGTCCTAGCAGCCGGATACTCGAGTCCTGGGTGTCTGGACTCAATTGTCAAGACTTGGGAGGCTTTCTTGCATCCTTCCTGATGTTCAGTGAGGGAGTCTTTCTTCTCAGCCAAGTGTAGCTTAGGGTTGGCTCCGTGTCCTCCTGATTGTTGTGCTCTATGTCAGCACAACATTGGTTTTAATTTTCTTTAATGAAGTCCTCGAGGGTGTTTTCAGGGTGGACATAGCTACTTGCCACTGGTTATCAGGTGCACAGAGGGTCGATCAACCACTGGTTATCAGGTGCACAGTGGGTCGATCAACCACTGGTTATCAGGTGCACAGTGGGTCGATCAACCACTGGTTATCAGGTGCACAGTGGGTCAATCAACCACTGGTTATCAGGTGCACAGTGGGTCAATCAACCACTGGTTATCAGGTGCACAGTGGGTCGATCAAGTCTGACAGAGATTTGAAAGTCAGGCAGAATTGTTAATAAGATAAATCATGACAGAATTTATAGTTGCTTAATAGACTGTTCATGGGCATGCATGGCGAGACGCATCTCACACACTCTGGACAGGTTCCTGGTGGAAGGACATCATGCTTGGTAAAGTAGAGGGTCATCGAACAGGAGGAGACGGTCCACCACACGGATTGACTCAGTGACTACAATCATAGGCTCCAATGTAAGTGATTCTGAGGCTGGTGCAAGGGTGGGCAGTGTCCACTTTGGTGCACACAGGGTCCCTAAGAGTCAGAGTCCACTCATCGACATCTAACAACAACAGCTGCCTACTGCCAAGTCTTTGAACAAGGACGCAAAGAGCAGAGTGCCTATTCGGAAGATAAACCCCAAGAGAGTTTATTAGATGTCTAATAAGATAGCCCAGTTCCGTGCCCAATAACATGAAAGGTAAGAGTAGCACTTTCTGTTTCTGAAAGCACAATGCAAGTGTCCGATGCAATGCTCAGCGTACATCACCGGGTCGATACTATGACTTGTTCTTGCTCCTGTATTTCATGCTGCTTGGTGTTGTTAGGCGCCGTATGGTTGATTCCAACTCATAGTGAACCTGTGTACAACAGCGCAAAACACTGCCTGCTCCTGCACCATCTTCACAAGCCTTATCCACTGGTGTAGCCAGTGTGTCGGTCCATCTGGCTGAGGGCCTATTAATAAACAGACTAGCAGGGGATTAGCCTTGTCCGGGTGCCTCTAACTACCCTAGGGGGAAGGAGATTCGAACTCCACTTCAGTGTTGTTGGAGGCCAATTCCCAAGAGGCTGACGTCAGACACGCCCTCCGCCCTCCAACCTTCCTCTCAGTTCTGACGCCAGCAGTCCCTCCCACAGCGCTCTCTGTTCCAGATCCTTCCCTACCATCTAAAGCCTAGGGCAGTTGTCATTTATCTTGAATCCTTCATAGATTCTGAATGAGAGGACCTTATCAGAAGCATGATTTCCTCAGTATTTTCTCCCATTCGATGGGGAATCTTTGTAATGGAATCACAGCACTAAGGTATTCTAATGTTGGCGAAGTTCAGCTCATCTTTCTTCTCTCATTCTTTTATACTTTGGGTGTCCTATCTAAATAAACCCAAACCAAATTCACTGCCACAAGTCGACGCCAACTCATTGCGACCCTATAGAACAGGGTAGAACTGCCCCCTATGAGTTTCTGAGACCGTAACTCTTTACAGGAGTAGAAAACCTCGTCTTTCTCCCATGGAGTGGCTGGTGGTTCAGAACTACTGACCTTGAGGTTAGTAGCCCGATGAGTAACCATTACGCCACCAGGGCTCCTGCCCTATCTAATGGGCCCTCTTTTCAAGCATCTGATACCATGCTTCCTCTCCTGGGTTCTGTTGGTCTAGTTTAGATTGTGGCCTGCGGATAATATCAAGGTGTTTGGCATGGTAGTGGGCCAGAGGGGGATGGGAAAGGGTTATTTCTTTCTCACAGGTTTCCCTTTGGCTGTACGTTGTAGACTTGCCCAGTGAGCGAATGCCTGATGTCTATGCAGGTCTCAGCACTCAGAGGGTCTCTGGTTGATTCAGATGGTTGGAGGCCGACTCTTAAGGAACAGTTTGGGGATTGCGACCGCAAGGTACCTCAGAAGAAAGGTCTGGTGATTTAATTCCAAGATGTTAAACTCCGACTCCTTGCTGTCGAGCCGATTCTGACTGACCGTATAGGACAGAGTGGAACTGCTTGTGTCAGTGTCCAGGCCTGTAACTGTTGACAGGAGTAGAAAGCCTCCTCCTCCTCCTCCTCCTCCTCCTCCTCCCTCAGAGTCCCTGGGGGTTCCACCTGCTGACCTTGCAGTCAGTTAGCAGACCCACATGCAGCCTTACTCTAGATATTCGGGGACCTGATGGCAGCTGGGTTAATTGGTTCGAGGTTACTAGTGCTCCCCCCCAAAGTGCACCCTGGGGGCAAGTTTCAGACTGCTTCCCACAAGCTTGACCGGTTCAAACCCAGCAGCCACACCCTGGGAGGAAAATGAGGCTGTCTGCTCCATCAAGATTTGCAGCCTTGAAAACTCATTATCCTCCCGTCTCCGTGAGCTGGAGTCAGTGTGATGGCGGTGGTTTGCCCCAACGCCAGCAGCCCGGGCTTGTCTGTGTCCCCCGCCCCTCTTCCTTGAACACTGGGCTCAAACAGCAGCAGCGGCAGCCGCAACCAGAAGCTCTATGGAAACGACCGGTCACGTGTAAAGCCACGCCAGCGTGGTCCAGCTGCGTGGCCTTTGCAAGGGCAAGAAAACGAGTCGGCGGCGGTTCTCCGGGGAGACCCAGGAATGCCTTTCAGGCTTTACAGGAACATGCTCCTGGCCTGCCAGGTGCTCGAAACTAAAGGAAAACATCGTTTCCCTCTTTGACTCTTGGCCGCTGCGGCCGTGTTTTGGTGCGCCCCCCTGCGCCCGTACGCTTCGAGACTTCGCAGGAAGGAGTTCAAACTGGAACTGGCACACGGAGAGGAAATTTCAAATTAAATGCCGTTACTGTCTACCAAATAGAAGCACTAATTGAAACAAGGAATCTGGGAGCACACAAGACTTTCTAGCTCCAAGAGACATTTCTTGGCTGGCCTCGCGCTTAAGATGAAAAGAAAATCAGCACGTTTTCCAAAAACAGAGAAGGAACAGTTGAATGCCTTAAATGTGCTTCTATTCCCTGCGAGGTAACACCGCCGAGAGCTCGCATGCATGGCTCTGATCAGAAGGCTGATCTTACATTTCAGGGCCCATCTTTATGGGGTAATTTTGCAATTACTCCTTTTCTCCAGTAATAGATTCTTTTCCCCCCTGCAGACAGTAATTCTGCTATGCAAGCAGTAGGCATCGCCTCTGAGCAGTTCTCGTGCAGTGACTGGTAATGGTTGTGTCAAAAACGGATGCGTAAATAAGTGACTTAGGCTGTGAAAAATGAAACAATAGGGGCAGGGCTTTTAAAACTTTCCTGAGGTTAAAATAAGAACGTTTGGCTCACCGTAGGGTGTTATTGGGAGACCTCCTCGCAATACGGATCCTTGTTGAAGGACCGACCGAAGGGCCAGTAGTTGGAATCCATCCAGAAGCTCCGGGGGAGAAAATACCTCGCTCGAGAGTTGTCCTGGAAAAGATGGTTGTTGCTGCCCATTAGGTGCCGCCCCGGCGCTTCTGACCCATAGCGACTGGATGCACAACTGAACACAACACTGCCCAGTCCTGCCCGTCCCCACAATTGTTCCTGTGCGTGGGCCCACTCCTACAGCCACTGTGCCCAGCCATCTCGTTGAGGGCCTCCCTCATTTTCGCTGGCCCTCTGCTTTATCAAACACGATGCCCTTCTCCAGGGCCCGGCCTCTCCTGACAACACGTCCAAAGTAGGCGAGAGGAAGACTAGAGCCTTGATGTCCTTGAGGAGGCCCATCTGTGCTACGAGGTTGCTGCGAGCCGAAACGGACGTGCTGGCACACAGCAACCACGACCCATGTGGCCAGCAGTTCTTAAAACCCTAGGAAGAGTCGCTCTTCAAATGGAATGCACACTGTCCTTGCCGTGTCCCTCAAACTCAAAACTCACTGCCATTGAGTCGATGCCAACTCATAGCAACCCTATAGGGCAAGGGAGAACTATGCCTCTCCAAGACTGTAACTCTGCAAGAGACTAGAAAGGCCTGTCTTTCTGGGGAGGAGCAGCTGGTGATTTCGAACTGCTGACCTTGCACTTAGCAGCCCAGCGTGGAACCACTGTGCCGCCAGGGCTCCTCAACCTTTGACCCAAGTAGCAGTTGGAAAAACAAAAACAACTGTTTAGGACCCAAAGGGTCAACCGCTATTTGAAAGCACAGGTCAGAAGGTTGCAGGGCCGAGAGACGCAGTAAATGGAAGGGACGCGAACACCAAAGAAGGTGTTTGTACGCCGTGGAGTATGTAGGCACGCTAGCGGATCACTGC